TGTCAATTTATGCAGCAATTATTTTAAGCGGCTTGACGTTCAATCCAGGTCAGATTAATTGTTTTTTTTTAAACTAATGCAAAACGACAGAATGCATACCTGATTTCCCTTAACTGCACAACTTAATGAATGGATTGCTTACAAAATTTAGCACTATTGTTATATCAAGCTTCGACGTTTACATTAATAGAAAAATACGACAGTGTACACAGATATTAATATTAAGAAAAGCATAATAATATTATTTTATAAATATTAAATGTTCCTTCTTTTCAGATATTTTAGTTAAATGTGTTCATAAATTAAAGTTTAAAGTGTTAAATGTGGATTATAACAGTCGCTTTCGTTAAATTAGGACGACGTTAAGTCAAAAAATGGAATAGGTACTTAGTAAAATTATTATTCTTACAATTCATTTTAATTATAATGTCATGAGTATTACTTATGATATCATCTTTATAAGTAACGGAAAACGCGATATCTTTCTACGAAACCTTTATTACACAGGGGTGACGGATATTACTTAAAATGAACTTTGTTACGAGCACTTAATATGTACCATTTAATTTTTTATAACCAGCGGTAAGTTTCAACCATTACAAAAAATCTGTTTTACCCTTTCCTTAGACTTCCTTGAGAAGAGAAAGATCATTATGTTATTCTTGTTTTCTCGATTATTTTTGCATTACAGGAAATTTTCTTATAAAAACCAATTCCCTATTTATTTTATTGTATTAAGCATATTGGAAACACTTTTTCTAATGAACAATTTTTTTTCTAAGTGGGTTTTATTATGAGTTATAAAATAAATAGTTTCGATTCAATTTTCTAATCAAAATACAATAATTCATGATTTTTAATAACTAAGTTGATTTACATATAATTGCAAAGATTAGGCATGAATACAAAGAGCCATCAATCGGCCGCAAGTTCCTAACCTGTGAAACAACTCTCGCATAACAAACAAAGAACAACTTGAGATTGCTGGCAGCTTTTAAATGCTCCGAACGCTCAGCGTCAAACTCTTACAGAGAAAATATCTCGCAAAAAAAGGAAGCAAAGAAAGCCCTTATAGATTGGGATTAAACTGAGGGTTTTGTTTATTATTATAAAGAATTGAAAAGCGTCATCGATATCATTAGTCGCGGATTATTTTTGAAGTGCGTTACGGTTTGATGAAAGTGGATGCGTGGGTAGATCGATATACAATAATTTATTTTTGAGTCGTCGCATCGGGCGACATCGGCTATTATAATCATTGTAACTGTCACAGAGCTGCCCGACCCACGTACTGCCTGTAGCATTGACGCTAAAAAAAATACAAAAAAAATATTTGGACTTTTAATGTATTTTTATTGTGTAAAGCAGATAAAAACGATTCGATAACATTCTTTGCATTCTTTTAAAAAACGGAACAATACATCAATTGGTAGTCGTTTTGAAGCAAGATATTGCTCACCAAGTTACAATTACAACTTACAGCGATAATTGTTATACTTCTTTTATATGTTTTATTAAAAGATTATTATTATAGGAAAAACAGTACTGTAATGACACAGAAGTGTTTTTTTGTTTACGGCATAAATTTCAACGAAAATAATGTAACGTGGGAGTTTAAAGCAAATGAAACACAAAAAGGAAATAATACCGCAGAATAGATTTGAACAATGAGGAAAGAGACGAACAAAACAAGTGTTGGTACGCGATGATGTCAGTGTCTGGTTGATTTAACAAGTTGTTAAGAACGCGCCAAATTTGTAACAAAACCAGCGGCACTTTTAGTAATGTTACATAAGTTCCAAAAATTAGGACATAACTTCAGCAAAAAAGTGAGATAGCAGCGTTACGTCTTTTGTTATTTTTTATTGAATTTTCATCGAGATTTCTCTTTTTGTACTTGTCTGGGTGATTGGTTTCACAGTATAAGAATTGTATTTTATAAAAATATTGTTGCAATGCTTGTTTCACAATAATAATCATTAATGTTAAACTCTGACCATTTATCTATAAAACTAGGCGTTGAGGAGTAGGCGTAGAGTATCCTCATTCTGAATCTGCTCATAATTTTCAACACACGCTCGGTCAGTGATTCACGGTCATTTTAATGTCAGATGACGAAACCGGTGACTTCCTCAGCACGAGAAGACATTTCGAAATCCGGTTTGATTGGTAGAATTTATACATAGTGTGGGTGAGATTAAGTGAATAAGGCAATAAGCTCGCTTTAATCAACAAAACACGTATCCTAATCAAATATGAGCCCCCTGCCATATCGCGTAATTGAAGGCTTAATCACAGGAGACGTTTTCGCGTCGCAGCGGCATGCGGGTGGCGGGGTCTATTTGATCAGCACTCGATTGCGTTCGATACATTTGGTGACAATTTGCACTAAGATTCGAATTTAATAGTAAATGTATTGGAGCGCACCACTATACGTTCAGTTTAAAGTTGGTTAATTCTATATGTGACAGATGTTGCATAAATATCTTATTCAACGAATTTAAATACTTTTTTTTATAGCTGCATAAATTTGAAAGAGAAAATATTTTATTCTAGTCTTACTGTAGACACAACCACGTTAATCCGCGAGACGTTTTACTACAACCATATCTGTAGCCCATCATAATTAACAATGAAAGCGAGTGCAAATATAGTAGAGACCGCTCATTAGCGATTAAGTCTCTTATACACATTTTCCTTCAAATTTGTTTTATTGTAAAAGAATATGGTGACAATGAAAATTACTGTTATAATATTTTAATGATACCTACACTTGGTAGTCTTATTTTTTTTTTGTAAATGAAAGATTCTTCTTAAGAGGGTTTATTATAAACGCCTCCTACAATCGAATATAACGAGATGGATTTATATATAAAATTAAATTATTCTAAACTAATCATCCAAAGAATGGCTCGTGTGTTAGAAAGACCTCACTAATGCAATTTAGTCAAAAATTCTATTAAGGAAGTTAGACGGGAGAGCAAAGATATGCATCGGTTGCATGCGGCATCGTCGACAGCGACCGATCCATTGTTGAACGTGCGATACCACCGTGCACAAAGACCGAACAATGCAACGCTCGCCTATTGTCTAACGTCTTGGGCTAAACATCACCGGTTTACGCTTCAGACGTATTAGTTTGATTTTCGTCAAGTCCGAACTTCATGTAATAACAATTTCATAAAAGAAAGTGCATACATAGGCTAGCACCATTGAAGCGTAATGTTTTTGTTTCCTTAAATTATTGACTTGAGATAAAATCTTAAATTTTTTTATAAATAAAGATAGAATATTTAACTCGGACCAAACTTTTACTTCAGAAAAATGAAGTTGTCATTAATAGATACATATATTATAAATGCGATTAATAAAAAACAAATTATCTTTCGACTTATGTAACAGACTTTTGATAGTAGGAAGATAATATAATTAGCATAATACAAAATCAGTATAACTTGAATGTGTTATTTATAGCATCTTTTATAATGTAATAGAATAAAGTCTTGCAGTGTCTTTTAAACCGTACTTTTACACTTGAGGGGTAATGTAGGGATTTTATAACTCTATTTATAGCCGATAAAAGAAATTATAGACTTGACAACAAGCTTTGGCAATAAAAAAACTATATAGAATAATCATTACAAAATAGGATGCGAAACGAATGAATACATCTAGTTTCAAATTTAAAATATAACTCTTATGAATAATAACGTGAAAAAATTTAAACCGCCATGTGGAGCGCGATATTTGTTATTATTATTAAGCATAAATCATTAAACATGATTGACTTAACGGTTCTTACTTTACATAAATACGAATCCATCATAATGTGTTGGCGTTAATTTATCAGAGTAACTTGCAAAAATAACCTCACGTTACGTCACCCGCCACTGATAACCGTATCACGCTGTGACCACCAATTGGTCAATAAAATGACACATTTTATTAAAACAACTGATAAACATTTTCAATTCTGTTTGTCTCTGCTAATTAGTATCATAAGGTATTAGCGGCAATGAGTTAACAGATCGTCGACATACATTATAATAACAAATATCTAAGCAATAATAACGTATTAACTTTGCGAAGTCTAGATTAAAATGACTATGATATATGAAGGCGCCGCCGAGTCATCGTCCTGTTCATTATGTTAGCACGATGCCAATTCCCATACAATGGCAGACAGCTATGGGGGGGGAATGACGTCACTCCAGGCTAGCCTTGGAATTGAGGTCGGTGTTCGAAATGGCGGCGGTGAAAATGTTGTCTGAAGCGTTGTCAAATTCACCCGGAAAATCACAGTTGCATGCATAGCATAGCCGTTTTAAGGATGGCTACATTCTTATAATGCCACCTAATACTGAGTAATTCACAATGAAAATACTTTTATACGAATAGCGAAAAGCGAAATGAGTACGGGTACAGATTGTATAATCAGATAACGCTATGAAAGTTCTTTTTTATAATTTATTTATTATTTCGAGATAACTATTAATTAAGCTATAAATTTAAGTGTTTATAAGATAGTGTGTAGGTATAAAAGTTGATATAAAAGATTATAAAAACCGAAACTCTTGTCGGTAATATTTAAAAGTCGCCTAATTCCGTTTTTATAAAAAGTCATAAAGGTTTCATAAATAGAAGGTGCACTAAGTTAGATTAGTTTCAATTTTAACGAAAAAAAAAAACAGATTTCAGCGTTGTAGTAGCATTTTTGAGCACTCATGTACCTCTCACATTTGAGAGATAACTGTTCACTGATAGCATCATAGATGGCATTAGTAGGGATAGATAAACGTAGTTACTGGTAATATCTTGGCACTAACATGGTTTGAATCTGCCTCTTTTTGTCGCTTAGATATTGTTCTTTAATTATTAATTAAGAAATAGTTTATGTTGAGATATTTGTGGAACTAATAAAGACAAAGGAAAGTTACCTTGATACTGTCGTAGCAGGCAGTAACTCTTCTTCCATTCTGTACTTCAACAGTGGCCGGAGGATGTGCGAACTTGCACTCGGTGTCAGGTCGCGAGCACTTATTCCGTTGGAACTCTCTGCATACTTCGAGTTGCAGCCAACGCGAGTCTTTACCGTTCAGAAGGCTGTTCATGTTCACCATGGTTGCCATTGTTGCCACTGTGGTCGAGGATACGCGCTCGCACTATTCAGCGAGGCGAGTGCGGCGCATATGCGGCGAGGAGAGAGCGCGCCTGCGCGCTCCGAGCATGCACTTCTCACTTACTCGGGGAAAGATGATTCTGTTACCACTATGGCGCTCGCGCACCCTTCACTATACACTTCTGCACACGCGAAAGAATAGGAACACCGCTGGCGATTAGCTCGCGGTTCGGTTAATGATTTATTGAGATGTTAATCGTACGTTAGATTAGAAGAATTAAAGACACCGACGTTGCAAGCTTATTTAGGCAAATATCAAAATATTAATAATAATCACACGCGTTCGTATCGATGTCGACCGTTGATTTAGTAGAGGGCGAGCGGTGTCTGGTGTGCGAGCATGGCGGCAGCGGCCGGTGCGGAACTGGATTGGCGACGGTAGGGCGCGAAAAAGCGATTTAGCGGCTCGGCGGTCAGCGAGAAAGCCGATGTGGTGCAGGGGGCTCAACTCTGCGAACAAGAAAACACACTGGTTACTCTCCGGGCGCTGGGAGGTCCGCCCCGGAGCCAAGCACAAGCGGCTGCCGGGTTAGAAAGCACATAAGGTACGAGGAACCGATCATGGGTCCACATTACCATTGTTTCATATGTAGCATGTCCCAGGCAAATATATTTGTGAATAGGATAGTATGCTAGGACTAAGTTTTAATATAATATAGCAAAAATGTCACAATACACCAGTTAGTTTAAGGAAAATATTACTTTGAATACCCAGCTTTTTAATTTAGACTGAAAGTAACATAATTAGTTTTAAAATTAGAATATAAAGAAGTGGTTGTGTGTGTGAGGATTTACGTATAATATGTTGTTTGAATGTTTATGTGTATATGTAGTGTGTGGTATGTTTACGAGTTTGACAGGTGTCATATCAATTAATAACATTGACTAGACGTGACCGTAAATACTCGGACTTGGCTTTTAGTAACATTACAAGTTGCAGCAAAAATTAATTGCCACGTAAAATATAAACGGAGCACTAAATATTCGAGGTTGCGGTTTTAGAGAGAATTATGAAACATATGTATGAGAAGCGTTGAGCCAATGTGTATCAGAGGTGGAAAAATTCTTTGTGTGGGCGCCGAGAGTCGAAACTTGACTGTCTGGGGCCGGTAACAGGGGAAAACTCGTGAAACCAAATCCTATCGTAATGTGCTATTTAAAGCATAACCCAGATGAAAATAGCTCAGTGTGCGGCAACGCAACGTCGCACTCCTCATCGTGCATAATCTTCAAATTTTATTTTTGATGTTTGTGCAGTTGTTTTTTTTTATTAAGGCACAAGATCGTTTAAAGCTCCTGAGAGATGACTTCCTTCATTTATGTTTGCTCTCGTGTCTGATGCAATAGTTATTGTTGCTGTAGTTTTGTGTCTAAAAAAATTATTATATTTTTAAGGAAAAATCTAATTCCCTTGTATTTTTATTTCCCCAGACATTTAGATAGGGTAAGAGCCTTCCTTTCGAAAAGTAATTTCCATAGAAAAGGTTACTAATAGGTTGGGAAATAATTTATATACTTAATTTATTAATGAACATATTCGATTTATATATTTAAACTTCTAAAAGCATAACTGTATTTTACGAGTGAATTTACAGATTTCATACCAATTTTCTTTACATATAATTTACTTAACTTATTGCAATTGACATTTTACAGCTCAATAATGAGAGACGTAATAAGGAGAAACTCAATTTTATAAAATCATGAAGATTATATTTACATTGACAAAGTAGTATCTGACTGGAGCTTGGAAAAAATATTCATTTTACAATATTATTTAATATTATACATTTATTTTTTATTTTTCTTTCAACGTTTTTAACTTATTCACAGAAACGTTACATACAAACAAGGAAATAATTCCACTAAGTCAAAATTTAAATATGAAGTTTTACACTAAATTTGTTTTTAAAGGGAAATGTGACATTGTTAACAAGAAACAATAGCATTACTATTTTGTTCTACTTATAGGTACTTAAATTCGCTAAAAGATTCCGGTTTCACATGATTTCCTATAAATTTTAATCTGCTTATCTGTTATTCCGATACCTAAGCTACTTATGAAGATTTTAAAGCCGAGCCGCCTTAAACTGCATTTTTTAAATAGTTAATAAATCATTTAGAATATCACTAAAATAAGTTAGACTGATAGTACAAAACCTAGAACAAAAATAATATTAAAAATATTGTCATAGAGAAAAGGAACTTTTACTTGGTCACTCGATCTATTAAAAAAGAATTATAGCGCTAATGAAGTTGAAACTTGTTGTGTTGTTTTTAGTCACAGCATATTTCTTTGACATATGTATAAAAAAGGGATTATCTAAAGGGTTTTGTAATATTATACTCCTCTCCTTACACATCTGAACGATTTAATCCAAAGAGACACGATTTTATATCGCACATTAAGCAAACATTGAGATGGTGGTCCAAAGGATATCAGTGTCTTATTCTTTTGAAAGCACTTGTGCCAGCAGCAGGGGTTTCTTAGATGCTCGACACGCACGGGGAAGACATTCAATAACCCAGTGAAAAGATTACCAAGAGCAATCAGACGGAAGCGAATCTAAATAAGAATCTCGTGAGAGCGGTCGGGTGCTAGGGTGGTGAGAGGGGGAAAAAGAGTCGAGCTGCGCCTTTGTGATCGTCGACTCGATCAATTTGCAATCGAATTTTTTATACGAACGTTTAACATGTTCGCGAAGAGTGCGGTTAATTGCATTATTAGTAAGGACATGCCCTTCGGCTGCTTCGTATCCGTGGTCTTGACCGGGACTCGAACCTGGGTCTCCCACCGGCTTGGAGGGCGCTCTTACCATTAAGCTATCAAGACAATAAGAATCCGAAGAGCTTAAAGGCTAAGTATAGGAATAGTGACAGTAACAATTCAGACATTTTTTGTATTTTATATTAAGATTAGTTTTATTTTCACAAAAGAATTTCAAGCCAAAATAAGAGTAAAGAAAGATTTATAGCACATTCAGCCCTTCCATTGGGGCGTATAACAATGTTTTCCTTTAAAAGTATAAAAGCTAGTAAATTGGATGCCGTAAACATGTATCATGAATATTTCTATTTATTTATATTTCAAATATTTTGTGCCCAATGTTTAAAACGATATAACCAAACAATATCTGAATTAAAGTTACTATATCCAGTCAACGATTATATGCACACTGTATGTATATATGTTGCCACACTTAACCGCACCTTTCGCTAGCTACTATTGCCCACACGACTGAACTTTTAAAACGTGACATTTGGTAGACGTTGATTTTATTGAGGCAACATCATGACTTGTCTTTTTGTGTTCACTAAACTGTGACAAGCGACTTCACTTTTGTGATCTCAAAGATTAAAAAATATATAAATTATTATATACTTCTCTGAAAGGAATGAAATATCTAGTCCAAATTGTATATTAATGTTACAAGTCATTATAAATTTAACCTTCAGGTATATACTTGTCTACTTATTGAACAACTTAGTTTAAAAAAAAATAACATATTTATATAAATTTTATGTATAAAAATTATATAATAATGTTATTTTAAAAATTTCTTTGAATCAATACCGTAGCATTTTCTTTGTTCCCTATTGTTTTGCTTTGAAAGTACACCATTTAAATCCCTTTGTGGTCATAAAGCGGGCTAGCTATAAAATGAATTGATTACCAAATTCAGACGCTTCACTTTCGTTTTTCTTACGCAATTTACATTATTAATGTTTAAAAATAATAAATCAACTGTAATTTAAAAATAATAAATCAATACATTATATATTAATATATCTAAGGTTAAATATAATTTTTAATGTTGCTTACGAGGAAGTATGGAAACAAAAAATAATTTACCTCGTACGCCACAGTATAATTGATTTGAAAAACAGTTTACTTTGGGAGTACAAAAAAACTCAAATGGAAGAAGTTTGTCTTTCTTTGTTGGTTATTGCACAAGCTAGATGGCGTGAACGGTTACACCAAATAATGAAATAGATTGAAACTGTCATATTAAAAAAGAGACAAGAATTTAAATGACAGAGCGGAAAACGAAGTGGACGCTAACAGGAGATGACCTTGGGTAGTGGTGTTGCGGTCCGACGCGCAAGCCACAGACGGTATAAAAACTACCACTATTACCTTCGAAACACTTCAATGGAGCTATGATTCGTTACCAATTTAATCAATATTGTCTACCGAGTCGCTTATTTAATTGAATATTTCACGTAGAATAAAAGAAAACAATAAAAAAGAAACTTTTATCCAGGGGACTGGAAAAGTAAATTTTATATTACAAACCACGTGAATATTGTAAGAATGCTAATATTTATATGTCCTAATAACTATCTTTATTTGAAAATTACAAATTAATAATGGACGTGAAAGTTCTTCAATAATGCAAAATGTTGACTTAAGCACATATTGTAGATATAATGTAAAAGGTATCTTATAATTACGTTACGAAAAATTATTGAAAAGATTATCGTATAAAATTGTTAGTAGCAATATTAGTATAGAAATTTATGACTATTAGATGATAAAGAAATATTAACGGAATTGATGATGATAGTCGTTAAGCCATACAGCCATAATTGAGTGGAATAAAAAGTATGAAAAGTATGCAATGTGTTAATTAAGGTTTATGCATTTTCTGTCTTTCATCAACATCCAATCGGATTTTCTGCGTCAGTGAGTAACACAATCAAAACATATAATTTACACATTTATGTATTATAAGTTCGAAAATGTTTGCATTTTGAAATAACCTTATTAATGTGTTATATTATTATACTGCAGTCAATATTTAAGCTTTAAGACATTATATATAATTAACGTTGTAAGGGATTACATTCTTTGATACTCTAAAATATAATAATACATACCATAAGCAGTGGATTTTATTCATGACAATTGTCATAAAAGGCTCTCGAATGCTTTGAAATATAATTATATTTAAGTAATGAAACGATTTTTCATTTACTCGTCGTGAAAAATATATTTTTTGACGGGATTACAAGGGTGGAATGTGATGTCACCGGCTCAAGATTAGTTATTCCGTGCGCGGATCAACGTACGTTCGTTGCACGTGCTGCCCTGACTCACCACTAGATCTTACTTTGAAAATTTTACCAAATGCTCAAGTATAATTTTTTATACATTCATGCAATTCTATGCAAATAATATTTAAATATATAATAGTGTTATTGTATGATAATAATCAATACATTGTTCGGTCTGGAACAAATCATATCATTACTTCTCAACAGACACATTATTATTTTATTTATGTGAACTAATTGATGCAAATTAAGTGCAAAATGAACCGAATTAGCCTAGCACGTAGGTCAGTTCCGGTAGTAAAAACAAAGGCCATTGTTAACCTGTTCAGTGTAGATCGCTACTAGTGCCCGTTCTCGCATTCGGAACATGCACGAGGTACATTAAGCTGGCTCCGGGGACGCCAGCAGACTAGTAATTAGCAAGAGAAGAGAAAAATTTGCGACGGGTTTAAATTTACGAGGAGCAAATTACACAATTCCGGGGCTATTGCAAGTGCGCTCGTTAATGTGCACGCCTTATCGAACATGTTTCCCCGATTGCTTGAAAACGGCTTCCCGGGCCGGCTATACATTGACATTACAGTTTTTGCACCCGATACAATTTCACACATTTTTTTTACTTTTTGGTAGATATACGATATAAAGGTGGACCAAATTATTGCATTTTATGTTAATTCTCTAACCTCTATATGCACAGATATTTAAAATTTATAAGACGTCTTTATTATATTGATATCCGTCTTAAATGTGAAATTTATTTTATAATTTTAATGGTGTTATTATGTTAAATAAATCGTAAATAAGTCTTATCGATGATTAATTTAGTATCGTAATCTGCAACTAGCGACTGGCGTGTCACATCCGTTTAATTTTCAGCATGATAAGATAACAATTCTTTGCGATAGCATTAAAAGTACTCACTTCGATTTTAGCCCGTGCTGACAAAATTATATTTCGGTGGATTTATATGTATAATGAGGTGTGACGAATTACAAATTTGAATTATTATGACGTTTTGACATATTTCACGGAATATTTTTGTTCAGGTAATGTTCCAATAAAACAAGTCGTAATTCTTCTTCGGCTTTTTAGCGGTTTTACAATTTAAAATAATAAAGTAGAACAAAAATATTGTAGTAGAGCGGGCTCTATTGACAGAGGCTTCATTGTTGTGAGCAGGTAGCGAAGCCAGCTGTTACCCTCGTAGATGAAACGGTGCAAACAAACTGTTTGGGGCTTAGCTGATCCAATATACCGGGAATTTTAAAATTAACACATGCAATCGCACATCCGGAATTATTAAATTTTCTCGCTCACTAATAATTTTATTTTTCTTTTAATTGACTTTGCTGATTCTTTTTGTAATATATGAGTATTAGAGTTGTCTATTTTTATAATTGATAGATATTAGTCTAAAGCAAGTTAGTTTTAGTGGTTTTATCGTATTTTTTAACTTTTTGAGAATTTTATGAAAATCACATCAACTCGAAAGATAAGATTATTTTCTTATCTGAATTACGTATCATCTAATCTCTCAATCGATAAAAAGTGTCTACAAACAGCTTACAAGGTAATTTTTTAAGTTTTATGAAAAAAATTCATGGTATAATTTTAAAGAAATAACATTCATTGACTTTAAAATTAATAACATCTTTTACGTATTTTCATTCATAACACATCTCCTAACGGTCACTACTTAAATGACGTCCTCTTTAAATAATTACCACAATTAATTCACTCTACTAAAATATATATTTTTATCTGTTCTTTAAATGACAAAATTATTTTTGTAAAGTATTTTGCAACATAGGGACAAAGTAATTTTGAGACGAGTTTTTTAAATACCTTAAGGATAGAATGTCATTTATCTCAGTACCGAACCAGTTTAGCAACAAAGTTAATATTGCACGAGGAAATTTTATTTACAAGAAGTCCTGCAACTTATATCAAATCTTTCATAATTATAAAGAACCCATCTTTTGTTATAGATAATGGTAATTTCGTGGTCATAGTAATTTCACTTTCGTAAAGTAATGGTATTTAATTTTTTTGTTGGGAATGGGTGATTTACCATACATATATAAAAATTTCTATAGTTGCTGAATAAAATAGAAAATACGAACCAATGTTCATCCAGCTCCCATCTAACCCTTCAAGTTGATAGGGTGAGTTAAGTCCCCGTGTTTTTTTATGTTAGGTCGGAATTATGGTGAAATGTGTTTTCGTTACATAGCCATTGAAGTCTACCAGGGAATAGGGTTTTGATGTGAAGGATGGTAACAATTATATCAGAGTTGCTGTGTGTGCAAGAGAAGTTTGCGCCCGATGCAATGTTTAGCTTAATCCGGTTAGGATATGGGAAAGTACCGTGAATGTTAGGTTTTACTTTAATATCGCACGACACTAACACGCCGATCACACTAACTATTTACTTATAAGTTTCCGTCGATTTTCGGAAATCGTCGACAATAGAACTTTAACACAAAGTAGACGAAACACTAGCTGCACGAAAATATTATGTAGCGGAACACTACTATATTCACTAACTTTCACGACGTTCACTTTGACACGAGTTCCGAAATCGACGATTACGTTAACAAGTCGTTTATTATAAAATGAGCGGTAGCACTTACATGGTGAGGGATAAACAAGCTGGGTAAGGGAGCGTAAATGTCCAAAAGTCAAATCATAGCAAGTCGCACGTAAGTTAGGAGAAACGATTCGCCGGTAGCTGGAGGTCGCGTTCGCGGCCACGGTAGGGCGGCACGCGTCGTGTTCGGAGCACGAGTGCGGTGCACGGAGCAGCGCGAGTCACACAAGCACAAGCGGAGTCGGCGGGCGACTGACGGGTGGCGAGCGGCGCGGCGCGGGGCGTCGCTGCGCGCGCACCCCTCACCGCGCACCCCGCGACACCGGGCCCCCTCGCCCCGCCGCCTCACCCCCGGCCACCACCCGCCCGCGCCCGCACCCCTGCCCTGACGGACGCCAGCCGGCTGCCTTATCACGCCGCACGGCGCTCCGCTTCCTTTCTCCTCGTGCCGTTGCGAGCTTTTTCGCCACTGCCACACTTCCGCCCGCCCCCTCGATTGTGTAGTTTTGAACCGATAATGTAAGTTTTAAATAAATAATGCCCTGAGATGGTTTTTAAAAAATAAAGGTACCGTAAAAGGAATAATCATAGTTTCGTCTATATAATAGGACTTGCATAAAAACATGATGTTATCTTTCCAAATAATGGAAATAACATTGATCGATGGCTGGGTCTTAAGTACATCGTGTGTGATGGATGAGGACCGTGGGATGCAAGTGGGAATAGGAGCGAGGTGCTGCGACCAGCGGATCGGGTGCGGGCGCGGGCGCAGGCGGTGGTCGGTGAAAGTGCGTTGGAACGGGTTTGCGAACCGCTTGTGAGTCGTGACCCGTCCGAGGACATTGCTAACAGAACACTGGAATATCACACTCTTTGATAAATTGGCGCAACAGTTTGTAATTGTGAACCTGAAGTTATAATAATAGCTTTATAACAGTAACCTCTACCGCATTATCTAAAAGCAGTTATGTTTCCATTATTTAACAAAAACTGAATGTACCTAATACAATAAATGTACAAAGAATGGCTCTTATAATAATAAAGACAGTAGATAGTTACAAAAAAATAATAATAATAAGGCAGAATTGGCAAAATGTTGTTTTCAGTTTGGCCACATTTTTAATGTGTAGGGGATTCGATTAATTGATTATAGTATTATGGTACAGACATAATCTGAAATGAATATAAACCCTCTTATACAACAACTACTTACACTTATGTAACTATGTTTTCCAAGTAATATGTTCGTTATAATTTGTCATCGACGGTAGGACATCGAATGCACTCAGACTCTCAAGGAAGCCAACACAAACAGAATAGGAAACGAACACATTATGAAATCGGACAGGTTCGGCGAGGGCCTTACATAAGTTGAGCAGTATTGACTCCAACTTTTGAGTCTGCGACAAAGTCAAGGAGACCGCAGTGTTCTCTGGTATATAACGCTATGTATTACGAGCAATATTGAGGATGATTCGTTTAATACAATATGTATATGTCACGGGTAAGGCATGCAGGCCGCAGCCAGCCACGTCTACTGGAGATTCGATGACGATGCGATTCCGTTTTTGCGTCGCAGTCTTTGGAGCGTAACATCTAAAATAAAAGTTCATTTGAACACTTCTCGGCGTCGCATCTCGGTAAGATTATTTTTTGTATCATGTTTTATATTAAAATACCTGTAGGATTACAATAAATGCCAAATGTCACATGATACAAAATGTAATAAAACTTATTTCAGTTAGAAATTTAATTTCTCTCATTTATAATTCACACGAGATCATCCGTCAATCAAACAACGAAATAGAATTATGACTCTACCTTCTTTTACATTTTATTTGCGTTCAAAGTATAGCCTACAAATATAAATTCTGGCACTAAACTGTAACTTTTAAATAAAGATATACTAAGTGACTTTTCAGTTGTTTTGATAATTTTATTATATTTTGACATCACGAAATATAAATGCATTTAATTATAAATGAAGCAAGGAGTTAGCGAATTAAGTGTCCTCGAGACGAGCAATGAAGTTCAATGAACTGCGTTCATCTCACGCTCGCAAAAAATGCACTGTACCGTCCCACACCGAACACAGCACTCACACATTCGTGCAGATAATGTAGCGCAAAGCGAAAAAATCACTTGCCAATAGCAGTAAAGAACTAATCTCATACCACATTTAACGCCTACTTGGAACAGCATCGCATATTCGAAGTAGACTATGTTATATTTGAAACAAACATCAACGATAGATAAAGTCCAGAGAGAAGTGTTTCATTATTGAAATACACTTATATATTTATCGTCACGTATTTCTGTTTTGTAATTTGTGCAAGTTGTTCCCAATATTAACTATCATTTGTTGGGAAATAAATAAGTTGTCCATCTCAGTTTCGCCCACGTCTCTCATCTTTATATCAGATAACCGCGCACGCGTCGTGTTTCCTGTTCCATTCTTTTAGATTGATTATTAATTAAATTATGTATATCACGAGGCATAATAAACATCCTAACACCTAACACACATGGAAATAATTTTAAATTAATTAGGTTTGCTGAAGAACTGTTATTTAAAAGAAATTCAGTATACTTTATTACATGCATAATAAATTGCCGGTAGCTGGTTAGTTTATATGTGTATCACTAATTAAGAGAATTAAATTTACAAAGAATTTAGAAATTAGCCAGCTTCCTTGAAGCGCATCGTCATAATTGACTTGCTCGAGTTAAAGAGCACGAAGGCATTATTTGTGATTTATTCATTCCATTTTTCATTTAAAGTGCCTCTGCTATGTATAAATATCGGTTGGAGCGTTCACGTTCACAAAACAAGTAACTTCTAACGCAACGCAAAGTGTAACACATTATCAGACATGAAACGTTTGCATGTATGTGTTTTTTAGATGTGTTCTTTCACAGGGGTGTTTCTAGCGTTTAATTAGAAGCGGTAAAGCAGATTGCAAAGTCGCGCTCCTGGCCGAGGTACGAGAACCGAGCGCGGAACCGAGCTCACACTTGCTTGATGACTTTGCGTAAACGTTAATTAACTCGCTTCATCTGATTCCTTGTAGCGCTTAATCGCTTTTATCTCACCGAATTCGTAGTAGAGTTAATTTTATCTAATTAGACATTTTGTGAAGTATACATGTATATAACACCGACGGTCGAGGTGGCCGTGTACCTACTTTAAAATAAAAGTCATGCATTATAACGAAAGAAATTGAGAGATTAAAATGTAAGAGCCAATGATTTGTGATCGTAAGTTAGAGATGTACTTTTGCTCATCTATGATGATCCACGTACCATATTGGGTTCCGGGTGTCTGACGTGGGCACGGAAATGAAAGTCTTTTATCGACATCTACTGATATTTGCTATTGTTAAATAATGTCTTAAAGTGGACTTCTCTCTCTTTCATGCAAGATAAGGTAGGTGATTTTAGAAAATCTTGTGATTTGCTGAGATGTAATGAAACTAACATTTAATTAACAATGCGAATAGTTACTTCAGTGTACAAACAGATTAAGTTGTCAGAGTATTTTCGGTAGGAGCTACCAAAATTGAAGTATGTCGAAACTAAACGGAGGCTATTATCTGAATTATTATCTAAGCAATAATAAACGCAGCAAGCGGCTGAGCGCGCTGTGTGTTAAGTGGCTTTTAAGGTCGCTTACCTCATCCCCCCTAGCTGGCAATCTTACAGTATTTGTAAGAATTTAATATAATGTTTGCAATCATTATTTCTCAGGCTGATTTTGATGGATTTCATGTACATTTGCTATAACTATAAAATATTAACTCTAGCCTGCAGCTAAACTATCCTATTTATTCGATTTGAACAAATCAATTCATTTGTAAAAAGCTGTTTTTTAGTTTTGGCTATTTATTTTATAATATCTTTAAATATCATAAACTATACATATGTTTATTTATATATGTAGGTGAAATAAGGTCAAATATTGGTTATTTTCATTATTATTTATATAATGGTTCAACGAATCTAAATATTTTATCAAGGATATTTCATATAGCAATGGTACATGAATCATTTGAAAAAATATATTAAATAAAAAATCGTGAGTCATAAAATCGTTCACGTTATAATAGATTCATTTTGTTTAGAAAAAAACACACGAAATAGTCACGGACCATAACATCTTAGCTGACAATATTTAGTGAGTCATAAATACGAATCAAAATATGGCACGCACGCACCATTTTGTATCGAAGTAGTCAAGATGAAAAACAGAAAGACCGAGCTTCTATGAGAAATTAAAAAACACTAGGGTCGTTAAAAAATGTTGTCTTCATAAGAACCTCATTGAAGTGGTATTTTATAAAAAAATCCAGAGTCAAATTTATACAGCGCTCCTCTCACGACTTACAATCACAAAAGGCTTAACCTTATATGTTAAGAACCGAATAAAACGAATAACCATGGTCGCTATAATGTAACATGCCCATGTTAATGTAATGAATCCCGTTAAACATATCCCAAATAAGTAACAAAATTTAATTCACACACAACATGAATCATTTAAATTCAATTTCAGAATTAAATTGTATGAATATATATACCAACGTTGTATGGTGTAAATAAATAGTTAGTGTAAGCAGTATCACAGACGCCTGCATGTGGTTTAGCCAAGTCGCCGCAGCTCGTAAATAAGAGCGTCTCATTGTGGGTCATTATTAATGAATTAGTTCCAACCCCGCGTCCCGCACATCCACTCAAAGCTAAATAACAGGTGCGTGTAACCCTATTCGCACAATCTATTTTGTATGTCCTATAAACGCGCAGAGAATAGTTCGCTCTCTCTCGTTCTAAATATTCATACCTATGCCAGATATTGAGATTTGTTTAGGTGTCATCTGCACGACACCGTTGTCTTTAAATAAACATTATACCATTGTGGTTTCGCTTCTCTGTATATCACTTCTACTTATTAACTTCCTCATTCTAGGGCTAAGAAAATATGTAGCTATCATTGAACATTTTGTAAGCTAGGAATGTCTTACAATCGTTTTAGCGTTTTTGGATTTGCATACACTAAATCCGGAAATGATTTCAATGCTGAATATGGCAAAAAAAATAATGTTTTGTTACGTTTTCTACCAACCGACATTCTATTATCTCCTGCCTAGGAAGTTGCTTTCATATCAAAAACAGGCCTCTGCCGAGAAACACAAAGATAGCGCCTCGTTTGCCTACATTAATGCACTTACTTCAGAAATGACGTAATCGTAACAGTCTCGTAGCCAGTCTAGCCTGTTTTCTTAATTTATATTATTTAATTATCTAGGTTTTGTTTTATTTAGATATAAACTTGGTATATATACTATAGACGAATCTAAATTGCCATTATTAACAACATAAATGGTGTAAATCTTAGCTTGTCTTAAATAACAATGTGAATAAATATTAATTAAATTGAACAAAATTTAAAAGTATTCCATTACATTGCTCTATATGTCCTTTTTATCAATTTAGATATGAAAACTTATATAGTCTTAATACAAAACTATAGATGATTAAGAACATCCATTAGGCAATACTATGTACGGTAAATACGTTAGCAAGAGTTTTCAACCTTGAATTATCACTAACCGATAAGTTATGAATAAAAACTCATTGAACATAAAGGTTACATAAGGATAGAGATAGTTTTTTATTAGATGTGTAAATTAGTAACGAGTGCGTTATTCTAAGATGCATTCTGCGGTGGAATATATCACTGATGCGGTGTTATGATCGGTGTTCGTATTAATTAGCGCGAGTTGCTGTTGGTGACGTCACTCATCTAATTTGATTACACCA